TACTTTACGAGTTAAAACACACTGCTGCACGTGCCCTGCTAATACATGAAGTTAACCATAAAGCGCTCACACGTAAGATTTCCTATGGCAATGTCACCCTTTCCACTAGTGACCTGAACTAACCTTGATTTAAACTAATAAGGTCACTATAATTTCATTCGAGACACCTTCCACTTAAATTGCAATAGGGTTATTGTACTTTAATTTGTGTCTACTAGATCCTACACATGACATTTTAACACCCATATAGGAAGGCCATTAATAGTTTAGGACTTAAAGTCAACGAAATATTTAATGTCAATCAACATCACTGAATTGGATGTTTGACATACCTTTTATTTTTGTTTTTACTTCATGCAGAAGAGTTTTTAGATGAAGCTACGTTAATTCTTGTTTGAAAACTAACTTTTAAAAAACACTTCATATTCCCAAAATGCTTTTAAAGAAAATCACATTAAACCAAATTCCTCTAAGAACTTTTTCAGTCAAAAAAAGCACTTTCAAAAGCTATCTTTAAGTTTCAAAAGTTCCTCTTGACTTTCAAAAGCCATGCTAAACGGATCGAAATGATCAGCATTAAAGTATAATGACTCAATTGTTACAAATTGAAGTATTGTAATTCAATTGAAATTTATGAGTGTAGCCATCTTCTATACAAATTTCTATGCTGTTATTGTAACCAATCATCAGTTTGTAACTAGCTCAGTTTGATGAACCATCTTCCATGATGCCTCATGATGGTCTTGATCTTTCCACTACACTTCAAATTTTCACACCTGCAAATACCCAAAAAAACGACGAAGTTAAAAGTTTAAAGATAAGGGCAAGATAATTTCCCTTCACTCACTATTTTGACAGCTGCTCGATGCAATGGAAAAGCAAAACTAAGTGCATGTTTTTTGTAAGCAGTACTAAACATGATTGTATAGTAAAATCAGGGACATATTCAATTTTTTTTTTTTAAACAGCGCTAATAAGCAAAAAAATTTAAATTACACTAAAAAAAATTGTTTTTACTTAAAAAAATGAAATTACTTCAAAAAAAGGAAAAAAAAAAAGTGAATTGGGCTAGGGACTGGGCTGGCACCCCAAATCTGCCCATAAGTACAATGAATTAGTGCTATCTAATCCTCTGTTTCAAACATGTCATATACATTCCATGAAAGGGAGCATGATGCAAACATGACTGGCTAACAAATTGACTGATGTTATGGTAAATTGACTCATGTTATAGTAACTACAGTATACCTTTTTTTTTTTTTTTTTATACTGACTACAGTATACTTAAAAAAAAGGTTGAACATCAATCTTGAGGTCCCCCACCGTCCCATCCCTAGAGTTTTGTGAGGGAGGTAAATCGTGGAATGTGCCCCAACAGGCCAGAGAACAAGAGCTGCCTGTACACTGCGCTTTCCACACTGCGGTTGCTAGCAAGGCATGAGATAACCTCACTCATATCTTTTACACCGCTGGACTATGTCCCGAGGGGCGTAACTACAGTTACTTGCTAGCATTTGAGGTACTCTTAATGGTACAAGAGACAATGTGTGAAATGCTTGTTATCACCACTGCAATGGCTAAGTTGTGGCCAAGGCGCTTATTGTCTTTTGTTGGCATAAATGCAGATTTAATATATTTGTAAGTTCAAAAAGTCGTTAAGAAACCTGCAAGAATTTATGAAAATGAAGGATTGAGGCAAGAGCACAATAGAAGTTATCTTCATATCCTTTTCAATTCACCACCGAAATAAATAATCGAACAAAAATGAGTTAATAACTCAAATGGTCATTGAATTTTGTAAAAGGTTTTCACGGGGTGCAATTGAACTTTGCAAAAAGTTTCCACGGAACCACTGAACTTTAAAAATCAGCTCATTCATTATTAAACTTTATGAGAATTTTCCAGGGGATCACTAAATCAAACATTTTGCAAAGTTCGGTGACCCCGTGAAAATCTTTTGCAAAATTTAGTGATAAATGAAGTGATTTTTAAAGATCAGATACTCCATGTAAACCTTTTGAAAAGTTCAGTGATGATTTGAGTGATTTTTAATGTTTAGCAACCCCGTGAAAACTTTTTACAAAGTTCAGTAACCATTTGGATTATTAACCCAACAAAAAGATGTAAACTACAACGACATATATTGACATAGCGAGCATGAAGTTTGACAAAGGATAATTCGGAATCAAAGAAAGTAACAATTTGGGCTCACCATCTGGCATGCCAGAGCTGCATTTTATAGTGTGAAGCTCATTATGATTATAGATAATCTCCAAACACTAAAAAACTAGAAACTATGTTTCACACGCCAAAAGAAAATCTCAAGTATTATTAACAATTAATAGCTTCTTTTATTTGAACAAAATTTACCAAACAAGTTAATGATACATTTTGCTATCACTAATGCTACATATGTAACCCTTTTTTTTCCCCCAAAAATGCGATTCTTGTAAATAAAAATAAATACACGTGGGGCTCAAATCCATAAAAAACGTGGGTCCATGGATTTAAAATTTATTGAAGCACTAAAAAGATAATGCAAATTATGACCTCATAACTTGTTTGGCATATCTTAACCATACGTGGATCTGCAAGATATAAGTTTCCCAAGTGACCTTACCAAGTCATCTATTTATCAAGGGAAATAAATGTCATGTCAAGTGATCCTTTAAAACAGAATTACACTGTTCTTTTTTTTTTTTTTTGATACCCAGATATCCCAATTTTGCCAGACTAAATCCTGGACCTCTAGCCACCGGCCCCTCAGTGACTCGAGGAGGTAAATCGCAGGTTATGCCCTTGTTGGCTCTCAGATTCCCACTTGGTTTATACTCTTGGCCCCAAGAGAATCCTCCTCACTACGTTGATCAGGAATCGAACTCTCCATGCTGAAATTGCAAGCCTGCCATAGTGATTGTTCCACCAACTCGGATGTGCCTTGGAGGGCTAGAATTACACTGTTTTTCAGTGGATGTCTAATCATTCTTGAAGAAACCGGTTTGGTATTATAATTAAATTTTTTAATATTTACAAAACTATATTAATTTAACTAACGATATGTTCAATCTTAACTCTTACAAAATAACGTAGTCTAATCTTATATATTTTTTGCATCTCTCTTTGCTGATCTTTTCATAGATTTGATTGCTAAAATTACAGAAAGAGAAAGATAACGAGTTCACAACAATTCAGAGAGGCGTAGTCGACAACGATAAAAATGACACTACGATAAAATAAAAAATTTGGGTAAACTTTAGGTTAATTTGATAAATGGGGCTTAAACTAAAAATTAGAAATAAGAAAATCATATTTTTGGATTTGAACTAAAATAATTAGTTAACATATTTATTTTAAAAATAAAATAATTTAGCTTATTTAAAATAAATAAATTAAAAAAAAATTAGAGATATTCGATTTTGGTTATTCGATTTTAATTTAGAACCAAGAACCAAATCAAACTCATCAATTCTTGATTCAGATACTCGTTAGAGTATTTAATTTAAGAAGAACCGCTCGATTCAATTCAATTCAATTCGGGTCGGGTCCGATTTGGTTCGAGAGTTTTGTTCAGCCCTAAATTTACCAATCATGGACTACTTACACAAAAAGTTTCAACATATAGCTATGGCAATGCTGAGTGACGTTTTGCAAACTTACGTATATGCTGATCAACAAAAAATGTACAACCTAAAACAACGGTCAAAAGAAAATGTACAGATACCCTGAAATTTGTAATATTTACATTCTAACAAAGCAACTAGAGGATGTGCGTACGTGATGGGAATCCACGATGTATAAGGATGATATTTATTGTAAGTAAATTTTGGAAGCTTGTATTTATACTCCATCCACAGATATTCAATCTGAAATCATGAAATCACTGGTATTTGATGCAGAATTGAGATATAAAAGATTGTTCTAAAAGATCGATGTGATACCATCAATGAAATTATCACAACAATCATTTTTGATTGATATCCTACGTTTTGGTTCAGCTTCCTCTAGTTTCTCCATCCATCTCTCTACCTAGCAAACAAATTTGAATAGCCTCAGGAGGTGTGAAATTGACAAGGGATATTAAAAGTGTGAGAAGAAACAACAACTACCACAATGTGTTTGAAGTACACATCCAAACTAATGTGTGTATTAACTACGACAGGTAACAACACAAATATGAATGAAATAACTATCATAGGTAACAACACAACTATGAATGAAATATGATGTAGATCAAATCTACAAACACGCGATGATAATACCTCAAGAAAGTGGAGCGAATCCTAAACAGTTCAAACACCCAGGCACTTTCCAAATGAGAATGACTACCAAGAAATAGCCTATGATTTTGCCAGCTATGACAATCTCCTGCTCATTGTATTTGTTAAAATTGCCAAGGGTCCCATAACCCATGAGAGTGAAAAGTGTGCCCATGGGGCATTTGTAGTATAACATGTAACTGTTATTAAGCACAACGCAGACCCCAAAAAAAAAAAAAAAAAAAAACCAAGAAATTGAGCCTCCAAATTATTTGTCCATTCAAATGTAAATCTGTCGGAAGCAAGGTTCATTTGACGAATCAGGATTCTATCTTAGAACTCATGCAGAAATAGTACCTAAACAAACCTAGCAAACGCTGAAATCCTTGTGGATGTTATGATATGAGAAGTTTCCAAAGCCAATCAGCCACACATGAAACAAAAAAAACTCAAATGGCATTATAGATTTTGGTTGCAGCAAAGTAATGATATATAAGAAATAAGATCCGCAGGTAGGGAAGAAGATTGCCTAAAACCATTTATTATATAGACAAGATGAATAATATCCGCCCCCAAGGCACATCTCCAAGTGGTAAAAAGGGAGGGTGGAGAAATCCAGCTTTGCTTGAGGCTGCTGCGTCAAGGATTCGAATCCTGAAATATGGATTTGGCTCTTGGGTAAGTGCAAGTGTACAAGCAGCCTTCTACCCTGTACCCTTGGAGGCATAACCTGCGATTTACCTCCCTCATGATGCTCCAGGGCAGGGGTGGTGAGGGACCCTTAAGGTTAGGGTTTTAACCTTTTAAGATGAATAATATCCAATGCAGACCAATCAAGATATCAATGTACTTAATCATTAAAGGATATTTTTACAGCACACTTCAAATGTCAATGTAAAACTGCTTTCTTAAAACTGAGGCATAACTCATTTCAGTAGACAATTTACTCAAACTGAAAGTGCCTTAGATACAACGTTCCACAAGCTTATGGACCCTTCTTAAGTATAAATGAAGGGCCCTTTCCTTTTCATTTCAAGGTTTGGATAATCTGGATTAGTTTTGCAACTTATTCCTTCAAATTTTTTTATGAGCGGCTCCCGTTTCAGTGTCTCGAAACAAGTTTAGGCGCCAAATAGTCAGTGATATAAGTTCTAGGAAAGAATGAAAAAGTTTGTATAAGAGAAGCAAAGTCATCGATATTATTTTTGAGGTTAATCAAAATGGAACGTTAGAACGGATACAATGGCACAAGATAAGCAACCAGATTTACTGCATTATAGCAGATAATACCTAGTTTCTAAAATTAACATCTGAAAACTGAAAAAAGACTAAGGATTGAGTATAAGGACATAGTAGAGAGAAAGGTATAAGGCTGTTAGTGCTCATCGTACGCTTAGATTACACGACAAGTCTACTGGATCCCTCAAAGTCTTCTTCCATCACATAAGTATGATAGTTGATATGCCTTCAGAAATCTAAAACATTCACACGCACAGACACCCTGACTGCAAAGGAAAAAAGGCGAAAAAGAAACTAATTTTCAACAATAATCACAAAAAACTAATACAAAACTCCACATGCAGAAAGTGATAAGTAGCCATCATAAATCAAAAGGTAAATGAATCCTTTAGGAAACTTAATTGCCTGCATCCATTCTTTCCACTCCTCAGTTTGATGCCTATTTAAATACATGATCGTTTTCCCAAAGAATGGCGACTTGTCATTATGTATCTTGAAAGAAGTAATTGCCAAAACTATGATAAGAAGGAGTACAGAAGCAAGGACCACATCAATCATCACATTCACATGGGTAGCACTTCATAAATTAGAAACAGCAGCAACACATGTTTAAAAACCATGCACAATATGTGGTCTTATTATTGATTTGATGAATTTCAGTTAAGCACCTAAAATTACAGCTCAAGTTTTCCGTTTCTCTACATGAACCAATATTAAGACCCTGTTCGTTATATTCAAGGGGGTAAATATCTAATTATCAAAGACAGGGTTAATGCAAACCAAAAAGAAAGGAATAGAAACAAAGCTACAGTTGTTACATTAAATATTGCTTCTTTCTGTTTCACATGACAGCTAAATGATTAGTCCTACTTTATTAATCAAACCTAACAAGCGTAATTGATAAAATATCATACCAATGTGTACTACCCAAAGAATTTTTTTTTTTTTTTTTTTTTTTTTTTCACATTGTCCTTGTTGTCTAACAACAAAAATATAATAACATTCATATATCACACCTGTTTAAGTGTTGATCTCACATGTTTTACATATCACAACTTCCTATTAATATTTTTATAAAAACAACTGCATCTTTTACAGTTTTACATTTGACACCATCAGTTTGTCAAATATAATGCCAAATATCTCAAGTAGGAAAGACTCGTCCAATTTAAGGAACCAGAGAAGATAAGCATATACAAGAACGTAAAATTAAGGTACAACTCCAACTTATTTTAACCTTGTTTGTTACTTACCTGATAATGCGAGATGTTACAGATGAATTCCTAACTTTAGGAGATGAAGACTAGAGAGCACCTCCATCCAATAGAACAGCTCTGTTATCTTCTTTGAGTGTTTCCTTTCCCAACTCGACCAAATTTATATCAGAATCCCTGCCACTGAAATGTACAAGATTTGGACAGGGAATTTTACGATCCTTCAGAAAACTATTATCATTATAACACAATATATATCATACTTTATGTACCTAAATAACACACACACACACACACACACACAAAAGGAATCCCGAATTTGAAGTACATTACTGATGTAACAAAATTCCAAAGGATCGGATGAAAACACATAGAACTATACATTAACATTATGTTCCTTACCATTTTTCTGAGCCTTTTGGCTTCAGTCAGAACTCACACCAGAAAACACACTCATTAATTCAACAAAATCTACTATATGTCTCATAAACTCAAAAAATAATAATAATAATAATAATAAATCAGTGAATAATTTGATAAGCCATTCGAGCAGCTGTGGTACCAAATATTCATACTCAGCAAATGTATCTATAAGAAACCATAATAAATCACTTCAAACATCTTCACACATAATGTTCCACACAATTGTCTAAATTACTTCAACGTTTTATGTTCAAATTTGATCAAAGATCGACACAGTTTCCATGAGGTATTTTTCCTATGCTCCAGATACTCTGAGCATATCCAGTCAATGCATATTGGTACTATCCCAAGAAAAATGACACCTGCAATTCACACAAAGGAAAAGGAAAAACAATTAATTCATCAAGCTATGCCTTCGTAAAATAAAGAAATTTTAATTCTTCAAATTATTTAAGTACAGAATTTTAAAAGGAACTCGCAATTTAAGCACATAATACACTCTCCTACACAGTTCTTTACTATAGCAGCAAGAACAGGCAAATTCTACAAAATCCACCTAAAACAATTAGGATCTAATGGTACAATACAATAAGCTCGAAATAGCTATAGTTAAGAAATATTCACTGACCTGAGTCACCTGACCAAGTATTAATGGTCCATAAATCACCATTCCGACTGATTATCAACTGTCGAAAAATTCACAATGAAAAAACACGCATTTGATGATTATATTTGTGGATAACCGCGGGGCAAAGTTGATGAATGTAAAAGGGAAAACACAGATCTGAGGGAATTTCGAAGTAAACACAAAATCTGGCGGTGGAATGAGAGGCTTTTACACGAGCGAAGAGTAGTATTACAGTAGCGCTGTTTGTTTAAAATATATGTATATTATTATTTATTAAACACGTTTGGCTTAGCTTAAAGTTTACATATTAGTAAACAAAGCAGGCTTTAACGTAAACAATTTTTCCATAAGTAAAAGTTGAAAATAAGTTATCGTGGGCCATGGATCTAATATGCGGAGTTTTCTTATGAATTTCACAAATCTACCCTCTATAAATTGTGATATATTCATTTATCTTTTCATTTATTCATACCCATTTTACATTATAATTTAAATTATTTATACACACCTCTTAAATTTGCATGTTAAATAAGTATTTTACATGTGTTTATTCACGGACTCAAGTAATCGATCTCAAAAAAGAAGGGTCAATCTCTCACTTATCGTTTGCTTTAAATTTCAATATGACACTATTGTTAGTTGAGGGCCACACATTGAAATTTTAAGCGCAATTCTATCTAGAGTAGAAGCAAACTAATGAATTGAAATCGGACATTTGATCTTTGTCTACATTTCGCCCTCGACTCATCTACATTTCGCCTCTCGACTCTTTCATGACTTTGTCTCGGATTCATAACTTTTCTAAGCTTTTGTCACGTCTTTCTTTGGGAAGTCAACAATTGTGAATCGATTGACAAATATTACAGTGGAATCTAGTGCATTATTAGAATTACCATGAAATCCTCCTAACTGATTATCTTATCCCACATGAAAGCAGAATTTTGTGTTTGTGTTTGAATTATTAACAAAAGAATGATGCTATTTACAATCACTCATTGTCCTAATCTCCTTACGTGGCATAAATGCATCAAGTCACTAACTATTACATATATACGACTGCGATAACAAGTGACTGCAAATAACATTATTCTTACCAAAAGGTCCATATGTCGCAAAATTTGTTCCATATGAGATTGCACTTGAGGTTACCAGTGAAAAAGCAATGGCCACCACTAACACAATTAATATACTCCAGAGGATGATCGATCTTCACCTGCATGTTTACATTCAATAACACAAAATTATATAGTACAACGAACAAGATCTTAGAGGGCTCAAATGAATTGAAAAGAGAGCATATTCTTTCCAGTATTTTGACCATATCTTTCAGACAACACCAAATGTCCATTCTCGAAATATTTAAATTGGATCGAATGTATCTTGTTATCGTACGAAACAAAAATCTGAACAATCTGAGTTCGACCCTCTTTGTTCCGATAATTTCCAGTGTTTCTCTCCGCTGAAAGAATCTTGAATATCCTTGTATTTGTCATCTCTCCAAACTTAAAACCAATCAATTATACAGAAAAACTTTGTTGGAAAATTAGACGAAAATGCTTGGATCTGACTAATTAATGCACAGACTATTCAAATGTAGAAGTTCATGTATCAGAAATGAGGTTCACCCCATGCATCCATTAATTGTTGATGAAAGTCTTAGTTCCAAGATGAACACCCCAAAGTTAAAGTAACAATTAATTTTAACCACACATTTTATGGGACCAACAACTTTTCAATCATAGAGTAATAAGTTTTTATCAAAATTTAAAATTTTGATTTTAATTCACGCCAAACAGGGTCTTAGTTTGTTAAAGTTTGGCAACAGAAACTGCGAAAAAAATTAGTTAGTAACTATCTTATCTTTCGTGAAAGGTTGTGGACTAAAAAATTAGCCAAACATAAGCTAAGTACTAATTTATATGCTTGCACACTAAAATTCAGCTTGTAAAGAAGTGTAGATGAAAATAGGTGTTAAAAAATAAAATATTCTGGTCAAAGCACCAACCTTTTATGTGTTTTTGGTAACAAGAGTTTGCTGGTTTTAATTCCTCTAAGGTCTACGTTTCCACTAAAAGATCATTAGATTATGGTTGCTTTAGGCTCGATTAAATGTTGTGATGAAAAGTTCTGTGAGCTATATGATAGAGAATTTTTGCAATGATGAAATCCAATCTTCCGTTATATTTCAATTTTGTTGGATTTTAGGCGCAATAATAAAGAGATGAAATAGAGAAATCAATACAAAAATTTACGTGGTTCGATAGTGTGCCTACGTCTACAAGAGCAAAGCGGAGATAATATTATTCAATATGAAAAATAGGATTACAACATTATTATTTATACTAATTCTAACCTAGGCCCATAAAGACTTTAAGGCATGTACAAGAAAATACTCATGTACCGTACCGCCCCTGCACTCACAACCCATTCAATGTCCCTAGCAGCCAGACAGTAAATTAAACCCATGCAAAGTCGATGCTGTCGCTCCGTTCCATTCCGTTTGGTGCGCTACGCTCCTCTAACTTAACTCCGCTTCGCTTCGACATCGGCTTATTTGATCCAGGGAACTTGTGTTCCACTCTAAATGAGCCACATATACAACAAATTTCCAAAACGATTTCACTTAATTTGAGAGAAATAGGCAGATTTCGCAATTTTTGTTACAATTTCTTGTAAAGTTCTCATCAAGAAAATGGGCCCGTCACCTCTAACAACTACGTAAATGACATAACGAGCATAAATATCTTCTTCAACTTTTGTTCTAATATACTGATCGAATATCTTTATAAAGAATTCGGGGAATATATGCCTTTGTTTGGTGAAAATTAAAATTAATTTTTTTAGTATATTTTTATGATAAAAGTTGATGAAATATATTGTTAAAAAGTTGCGGATCCCATAAAATGTCTAGTTGAAATTAATTGATGACTTTGATTTAAATTTTTTATCAATTTTTAATTTACACCAAACATGGACATAAATGGTAACATCAATTTTTTTAGGACGTCTTCAGCTTAAGAACCAAAACCACTACCTATATTCTAAGAAAATGTGCAGCACGAATAAGAACTAAGAAAGAGATTCGAGGTCCCATCCATTAGAAGGGCTATATATAATCAGCTTCCCTTCAAAGTTCAAGCAGAGCTCGTGTTATCTTCTCTTAAATCATTGTTCTTCTGGTTATATTTTCTTTCATAAAAATAAACATGGTGGTGACCTTGCGACGCCCAATTCGAAACCGAAAAATTCGAGACACTGAACTTCCAATTATAGACCTTTTGCCCAGAGATCACAGGTTTCAAAACTCATCGTGAAAGCTTGTGAAGAATTTGAGTTTTTCAAGGTGATCGACCATGGAATCCCAGATGATAGTATCACAAAAATGGAAGAAGAAAGCTTTGAGTTTTTCGTGAAACCAGCCTCAGAGAAACAACATGCAGGGCCTGCTGATCCATATGGCTATGGCAGCAAGAGAGTTAATGGAAATATTGGAGAAGTAGAATATCTTCTTCTTCATACCAACCCTATTTCCATATGTCACAAGTCACTTGAGAATTAAGATGGTGTGCCAGAAAATGTTTGCCCACCTAATTGACATATACTCACATGCGCGTGGAACCCACATGGAACTCTCTTGAAATAAAAAAATGCTTCCCCCTTCCATGATAAGAATTGAAGGTGGGGAAAATGATTTAGTGACCAACAAGGTTACACCATCATCCAATCTATTCCACTCATCAAATGAAATACAAGTAGATAATTCTTAAATATTACAGAAGCCGTGAAATCAAGATCCCAACCTACAGCTAACAATACAAAACAAAGCTAAATTACAGCTATATAACACAGCTAGCAATACAAAACAAGGCTAAATTACAGCTACTATATATCACTTCACAATAATCTGGTGCAGCAGAATTCTAACAAACGAATGTCAGCTTAAGCTATTTTGCTTCTTTAGGATGTGTTGAACCATAAATGGTTAAGTCAACCTTTGAAACTTGTGCCCTAGTTTTCTTGTGCAGCTCACATTTGTTCTGGGATTTCTGTATTCTGCTCGTTACTCCCCCTCAAGATGGGGATGTGATGCTATGAATCCCCATCTTGTTTAGAAGAAAATGAAACTGTCGTGAGCCAATTACCTTGGTGAGGATATCCGACACTTGCATCTTAGATGAAATATGGGATGGTTTCAATAAATCTTCCTACAACTTCTTTCTTATAATATGACAATCGATTTTAATATGTTTCGTGCGTTCATGATAAACTGGATTTGAGACAATATAAATTGCCGCTTGATTATCAAAAAAGAGCTGAACTGGTTTAACTAAATTAACTCCAAGATCACATAGCAAACTTCGAAACCAAACAAGTTCGCATGTTGTAGATGCCATCGATCGGTATTTTGCCTCGGCTGATGAGCGAGAGACTGTCCGTTGTTTCTTGGATTTCCATGAGACTAAAGCATTCCCAAGGAAAACACAAAACCCAGTAACGGACCTCCTTGTTGTTGAACAAGCCCCCCAATCCGCATCGCAAAATGCTGATAATTGGAGTGAGCTTGCAGCTGGATAGAATAGACCCTGTGATGGTGAGCCCTTCAAATATCTTGCTATCCACAAAGCTGCCTTCCAACGGGTGTCCTTTGGTTTACTTAAGAATTGGCTAAGCATTTGGACTGAATATAAAATGTCTAGACGGGTGATGGTTAAGTAAAGCAACCTCCAAATGAGTCTTCTATATTTCATAGGATCAGCAAGATCAATCCCGTCCTCTGCAGATAATTTTAAATTTTGCTCCATGGGAAAACTAGCAGGTTTTGCAGCAAGAAGTCCACAATCCTATAGGATCTCTAAGGCATATTTCCTTTGACAAATGGATATACCTTGAGATGATTGTGCCACTACGATGCCTAAAAAATATTTCAACGGTCCAAGGTCCTTGAGCTTGAAATTTTGTGCTAAATAGTCTTTCAATTGCTGTATTTCGGAAGCATTATCACCTGCAATAACCATATCATCTACGTACACCAACAGAACAGTAAATGAAGTACAAGTTTTCTTAACAAACAAAGAGTAGTCAGCCTTAGATTGGATGAACCCAATCTTTGTGATGACCGAGGTGAGTTTTTGGTTCCATTGACGAGATGCTTGCTTCAATCCGTAGAGTGACTTCCTTAATTTGTAAACTCGTTGCTCCCCTTGAGTGCCATATCCCGGAGGTAGAGACATGTACACTTCTTCATCTAAGTCATCATACAAAAAGGCATTATTGACATCTAGGTGAGATAAAAACTAG